TAGGTTTTATAAAACACTTTTTTTTTAGATTTTGCGATGGCAACAAAAACCAACAAACTATGATTTAAGAATAGATTTTTCATAGTTTAAGCCCCCACATAAAAAAGTAGTTTGTGAAAAAAGAGTAAGAGTTTGGCTATTTCATAAAAAAAATGTCCTATTTCTTGTCTGGAATGGCAGTGTTTTGATGTGTGATAAATATATTCTACTATATACATATGTATGTATAGTATGTGTGCCGTTGAAACTGAAATTAAATTTAAATTTATTCATTTTCAATGCTTTCAAAAGTATCTGTCCGAACAGGCTCATTGATGAATAAACTTTGATGGAATTTGTGACTAATTCTTCTGTTTTAATATTCGCAAAACCACGCCTAAGATACAATATTTACAACGCATTTAGAACGTGTTACCATTGGTAAAGCAATGTTGAGATTAGCAAATTCTGGCATAATGAATTCGGTTTCAAACGTTTCTCAGCGAATCCACTAAAACAAATACATCATTTGGTTATGAATCATCTGAGGTTTGTTTTTGCGGGTTGCTCACGAAATCGTTTGAGAAGTGATTTAACGATTTGTTAGCCAATTGGCCCATTTACACAACCATCGTACAGTCGTGAAATGTCGAAGTACACTGCCAGAAATTAGGCAGCCTTCACTTGGCAATCAGGAATTAATCAGCAATTATAGAGCCCGATGCAAAACTAAACCAAGTTATTAGACCAAAACAAAACGCAAGCGTTCAGGCAAATTTTGCCAGCAAGGTTAGTCTTCTGTTGTTGTTGTTGGTGTGAGCAGAGCTGGCAAGGAAAAACAACATACTTGTAGTATGTATGATTAATAATAATGAGCCAGTCGATTTGCATAAAAGTGAAAAAGGGGCGGGGCGCGTGGCCAACACAAAGCACGATAGCTATTTGAGTTGCCTGCGCTTACATAAAGCGTTGGCTGATTTATTTATAGGGTTACCCACTCACTTTTTTCCGTTGGCTTCCTGTTGCACGTACCGAAAAGTGTGCTGCAGCCTGCAGCCCAAGACATGTTGCACAATGCCTGAGAACGGCAGAGAGCAACATCAATAGCAACAGCAACTGCAGCAACAACAATGAACAATGAATGAATGAACATTTTTCCAGCTAGCGCTAAATTTCGTAAACCCTCAAAAATAGCCAAAAGGCAAAAGCAGATGAAGAAGCAAAAATAAATTCAAAAATGAGACTGCAATTGTGCAAAGTCTGAGGTTGTTTTTGTGTAGGAGTTGTTGGTTCGCGTATCTCGCAATTGTTTCCACTTTTGTATTTAATTCGAACAATCGAGCAAAAGAGCGACGCACTGACGGACGGTCGGACGGAGCGACGGACCGACCGTCGACACTTGGCAGAAAACTAGCGCATGAAGACTTTTCAAAAAATGTTAATGAATCTTTAATTTTGCGGTGCTGCAAATCAAATGGCTGGCCGGAAAGTGAAAGTACATCAAAGGTAAGCGCAGACTGTGCAAAAAGTGAATGAGTTGGGGGAGCCATAGCCATAGTCAGAGCTATAGTCGGAGTCGGAGTTGGAGTTGGAGTCTTGCCTTTTGTTCAATTTTCGTGCGTTTCTCACGCAAGTTTATTACACTTTCAACTTTGACTGCCGCTTGCTTGCTGGCTGCACTCCGAAGTGAAATGCAAATTCAAATTCAAATTAAATGAGTTACCTGTGAAAAGGAAAGGTATGCAAGTCACCTCAGGCAGAGCTTTCAGCTGAGCTCCAGCACTCATCGCGCAATTCCTAGAAGGGTAACTATCAACAGCTTCAACTTAACTTCACTTGACAATCTCTCTCTCTCTCTCTCTCTATACTTACATATTTGCGATTTTAAATATTTATTAGATCTTGAGTTAAAGCTTACCTCTCGATTATCAGCTTCATTTCCTAATATTATGGTCGGATTCTACAAATAACAACCTTTCCCCTTCTTTTGGGGATTTTCCATGACTATAGACATTCTACCTATGAGTACTTAAGTTACTTTGAATATTAAGAGAGAAAGTAAGAACTAGAAAATTGTAACAACTAACTGTCATTCCATTCGATTTTTCCCTTAAAACTGTTTTTTGCACCAATACCATTTCATTCATTTCTTTAATCATGAGTTGCTTTGAGAACTAGCTTTCAATTTTGAAACGTGCGTCCATAGTAGATTGTTCTCAAATAACCATGTTGTAGTGATGTGCGGTGAAATGAATTCACTGAAGCCGATTTCCCATGACTATTGACATTCTTCTTTTTAATTCTTATGTTACTTTGAATACCAAGAGAAAATAAGGAATAGTAACTTGTTACAAATTAAATTTATGTTTATCCTTTTCTCTTTGAATATCAAGGGACAGTAAGGACTACTAACTTATTACAAATTACATTAATTTTTATATTTTTTCTTTCTACTTGTTGCAATAATATATAGTATTCAATGGATAGTCCATTCATTTGAATCGCTGTGCTTATCAAATATTTTATTTGCTCTTGAGTTGCTTTGCCTTCAACTTTAAAACGTACATCCATAGAAGATTGTTCTCAATAAGTAAGAGCATGTTGTAGTAATGCGAGGTGAGATGAATTCACTGGTGGCGATTTCCCAACACTATAGACATTCTTCCTTTTAGTTCTTATGTTACTTTGAATATCAAGAGAAAGTAAGAAATAGTAAATTGTTAGAAATTACATTTATTTTTATCTTTTTCTGTAAGACTATTTGCAATAATATATAGTATTCTCATAGTATTCTCCATTCATTTGAATCGCTGTGTTATCAAATATTTTATTTGCTCTTGAGTTGCTTTGCCTTCAACTTTAAAACGTGCATCCATAGTGGATTGTTCTCAATAAATAAGAGCATGTTGTAGTAATGCGAGGTGAAATGAATTCACTGGTGGCGATTTCCCAACACTATAGACATTCTTCCTTTTAGTTCTTATGTTACTTTGAATATCAAGAGAAAGTAAGAAATAGTCACTTCTCACAAATTACATTAATTTTTATCTTATTATTTTTTATTAAGACTATTTGTTGCAATATATACAAGTAGTATTCTCATAGTATTCTCCATTCATTTGAATCGCTGTGCTTATCAAATATTTTATTTGCTCTTGAGTTGCTTTGCCTTCAACTTTAAAACGTGCATCCATAGTGGATTGTTCTCAATAAATAAGAGCATGTTGTAGTAATGCGAGGTGAAATGAATTCACTGGTGGCGATTTCCCAACACTATAGACATTCTTCCTTTTAGTTCTTATGTTACTTTGAATATCAAGAGAAAGTAAGAAATAGTCACTTCTCACAAATTACATTAATTTTTATCTTATTATTTTTTATTAAGACTATTTGTTGCAATATATACAAGTAGTATTCTCATAGTATTCTCCATTCATTTGAATCGCTGTGCTTATCAAATATTTTATTTGCTCTTGAGTTGCTTTGCCTTCAACTTTAAAACGTGCATCCATAGTAGATTATTCTCAATAAGTAAGAGTTAGTTGTAGTAATGCGAGGTGAAATGAATTCACTGGTGGCGATTTCCCAACACTATAGACATTCTTCCTTTTAGTTCTTATGTTACTTTGAATATCAAGAGAAAGTAAGAAATAGTCACTTCTCACAAATTACATTAATTTTTATCTTATTATTTTTTATTAAGACTATTTGTTGCAATATATACAAGTAGTATTCTCATAGTATTCTCCATTCATTTGAATCGCTGTGCTTATCAAATATTTTATTTGCTCTTGAGTTGCTTTGCCTTCAAGTTTAAAACGTGCATCCATAGTAGATTGTTCTCAATAAATAAGAGCATGTTGTAGTAATGCGAGGTGAAATGAATTCACTGGTGGCGATTTCCCAACACTATAGACATTCTTCCTTTTAGTTCTTATGTTACTTTGAATATCAAGAGAAAGTAAGAAATAGTCACTTCTCACAAATTACATTAATTTTTATCTTATTATTTTTTATTAAGACTATTTGTTGCAATATATACAAGTAGTATTCTCATAGTATTCTCCATTCATTTGAATCGCTGTGCTTATCAAATATTTTATTTGCTCTTGAGTTGCTTTGCCTTCAAGTTTAAAACGTGCATCCATAGTAGATTGTTCTCAATAAATAAGAGCATGTTGTAGTAATGCGAGGTGAAATGAATTCACTGCTGGCGAACTGACCATCGACCATTGATTACTCACGTACTGGATTGAGCTGAACAGTTAATGGGCTAGAAATGGGTACGATAAACCCGTACATGGTTACTGATAGGCTCGCTATCGCTGCACTTGCTAGGTCGGCCATATCAGCCAGAGTCTCATAGGCAATATCAGAGTCTCTCTGCTCTCCAATTGAGCGTTTTGCCATGCAAATAAATCATTTGCCCATTTGTTGTTTTGTCTTTGGTGGAATCAGAGCGGACCACCCCCAGCTTCAGTTTCGGTTTATTTGTTAGATACAAGTATTTGGAGGCACTCGCCTGCCTGCCTGCCTGCCTGCCGGCCTATCTCTTTCAACAGCATTTGTTTGCGGGGGCGTCGTGGCTTCTGCTGCCGCTGCTTTTCTTCTGCTTCTGGTGACTATACGAGTACGTGTACTTATATACAGACTTGTTCGTAGTATGTGTGTACATACAAGTATGTATAGTATTTTATTTTGTAAGTGCTTTGACTTTTGTCCACCGCCTTGCCTGCTGATTACGCGGAACCATTGCCATGGGCGGCTGTCTTTTGTTTTTTGTACGAAATTTATTTTCAAATTACATATTTACAATTACAATTATCTCTGTATGTTCTGCCAGCTGGCTGGGCTGCCGTCGCCTCGCTGCTTTGAAATAATAAATTGTAAATAAAAACAAAACAAAAAAGCCCAAGAATTATGTTCGTGTCGCCGTTGCCGTTGCCGTTGCTTTCGCCGTCGACGGCCTCTGAGTGTTTTTGCTATTCCCTAGTACTCGTAGTACTCAAGCGCACCTCAAACGCTGCGGTCGGCGGTCGGTGGACGGGAATGTATTGCTTTTTTATACCGGCTTCATGCTCAGTCAGAAGGCGTGCTTTACCGCCCACCCAATCGTGCTCACCTTTTAGCCATTAGTAAAAGCAATTAACGTCGCAACGCCGCGAAATTGGCAACGAAATTGCAGCCAATTGTTGTACGTTTGCCAATGCGTCAGTGGGAAAGGCAACAACGATGTGTTTGTGTATAAATAGAAAATAAAAATATAATCTTATCAGAGACCGCGAATGTTTTATCAATTTACAAAATAGCAACGAATTAAATACGAACTAGAAAGAACGAACAAATTAGTGCCTTCGTGTTAAAATCAAACAATTTTAGCACACCTTGAAAGGATTACAAAACGAACGAGAGTTTCTTGACGAAATCAACAGGTGAGAAGGGCTGGTACTAATTAGTAGATCTTCTAAGTTACTCGAAAATGTGAAGTAATTGTTGAGTATGACAAATAGAAGAATCTATTTAAGATAAGGGGTTATATACATATATATATATTTATGTTCAAAAATTGTAAATAGGAAATGCCTTTAAACTTTGAATGTCTTGCGGTAGCTTCTACAGCTGAGACATCATATTGCTTCATTAAAATCAAATGAATACATATAGTATGTATATATGCTCCTTTTTCATGGTCAGTCTTTTGTAATTCTATTGTGAAATGGCCGTTTTTGAGGAGCTCAGCCAGCAACACACAAAGCCGCTTATTATTGCACTCAATGGCTTCGAAAACAAGCAGCCGATCTTAAAAAACAAACAAACATGTCCCATAGCCAAGTGAGAAACCAAACTAATTGTAGTATAGTATGTTTTTATTATATTTAACCGGTTTGTGCGATATATCCAGCCTTGCCCTTATTTGATCGCCTTAACCCATTCCCAGCCAACGTATGATTGGCCGTACGGTGACTTCCAGGTGTAAAGAATAATAAAATTAAATGTTATGTTGCGACTAAAATTTTTAATAATTATTAAATTGACAATGATCGATAACTTTTAAGGCAAGCTAAATTTAGATTCCAAAATTGTAAAAATTTTAAATTGCATTATAGAACGTTTATTATTTCAAAACTAATAACATTTTTAATTGCGAGTATTTAAATCATTAAATGGGGGTCCTTTTTATTGGACTTTAAACTAAAACAGTTTTAAGCAATCAAGAAATGCTGAAGAAGATCCAAGCCAACTCTTAAATACTCTTAAATATTAAATTAAATTAAAATAATTAAATACAAAATACTTATATAAGATGTACATAGACAAAGGCTTATGTCATGGCTATAACTTTCTTTATAATTAACATTTCATCGGGTGTTTTTGCTAAATAATTCTAAGAATTACGGGAGCTGTGGAAAATTGATAAAAGCGAAGGAAGTGGGAGTGGTGCATCAGAATAAAAACAACATAAACTGGATCTGTTTAGGGCTTTTGGGAAACAAGTTTGGTTATACTAGCTCTTGTACTTTCTGAGATCCTTTAATTCATAAAGACGGACGGACATGCCTATATCGACTTGACTTGTCTTACTGATCAGGAATATACATATATTATGGGGTCTTCCACGCCACCTTCTGTGTGTATATACATTCACACTAAACTAGTAATACCCCCTTAGTCTTTAGAATTTCATTTGAAAACTTTACTTCTTTGCAAGCAAATACCAATTCGTAAATAGGGAACTATAAAATGTAAAGACCAACAGATATATAAGTAGTTAGTATAAACGATTACTTTTTCGCTGTGTGTGGTTTGTAAATAATGGGTTAAGCGAAAGCCGCTCGGCGAAAAATGAATCATCTGGTACTCATAGCCCCATAATACTGGACCCCTCTGCCACATACGTTTTCCATGTGAGACTCTTTTGTTTATGAAAAGCAACAACAAAAGCGCACAAATGTATTCAAAGCAAAATAAATAGAGTCAGAAAGAGATTGGAAACAATTCCTTAACAGAATCTGTAGCTCTGCCTTGTGGTTCACTTTTAATGTGCAATTATAATTATAATTATTATTTTGTTCAACTTTTGCATTAAAAGCACACGAGTCTTGTCGAAAAAACCACATGGCTGGCACAGTTTTTAAAAATACGGCGATAATTGCCAGACTGGCCAGATTTCCGCAATTCCTCGACTGGCCCTCCCATAACACACGTACACACACCTATGTACGTGTGTGTGCGTATTTAAGAGTGTGAGGGTGTGTGTGTGTGTGTGTGTGTGTGTTCCGACTATGTAACGAAATAATTTATGATTTTCTGAGAACGCTTTCCTGCCCTTCTATTGCGGCTGCTGTTATTTGTTTCTAGCGGTTTTTTAGGCATTTTATTTTTAGATGCAAAGTGTGACGCATTTCGTTCAATTTGTTTTTAAATTTAATTTTAATTTCCTTTTCGGCTGTCTGGCAAGTGAACTTTTTCATTGCCTTTACGTTTTGTTTTCAAGTGAATGACTCTTTTGGGTTCTTTTTTTTATATTTTTTGTGCCTACTTGTGACAATTTCTGAACTCACAAAATATATAAATAAATGTATGTACAAGTATATGTTTAAATGCACACATATTTACACTTGTGTCATGTTTTTTGAGCCAACATTTTGCGCATGTTTCAAAGTTCAGGTTAATTGTGCCCTCAGTTGGCTAATGCCATGGACTTTGATTGATGCATTTGGCAAAGCCGTAGGTAAATAACTTCCGATATAGTATATATGAAGCTATAATTATATGACATACAGGGTGTCGGCGGCCGGTAACTTTCCGAACAGTCATTGGCTTTACATTATAGTTCATTATCTTATCAACTCCTCAACTTCCCCACTAAAAGAAGCAAGACATTATCATCTACGAGTATACTATATACTACATATGTACTTGTATATATAAATGCTACCTCTAAACTCTATTTCTTACAATATTTGCTGCCACTAGCCTTGTTGTCTTTTTGTTTTCAAACAAATATATGAGTTCTCAATTTATTGTCTGCGTCGATAGGCTGTATTTTATTTTTTGTTTTTTGCTATACAGATTAAAGCACAGATAATGATTGATGTCATGTTGTTCAGTTTCGGAATAGAGACTTGTCTGTTGCACACTGGCGATACATGTGTCTTGGTTTCCTGATTGGACAGCTGTCAAAGGTATTGTTCGCCTTCTGAAACTGAAGGTGCAACATTTTTGAGGCAACAGTTTCAAGTTATAATAAAAGATTCTAATACATCAGTAGTGGCAGGTTTTACTTGCAGTTTAACGACACTTAATTGGAGAACAATTATTAATGTTATGGGAAATCTTATTGCAATAAAAGGTTGCTCCTTTCTTAACCTAAATCTCAAATTAAAATTCGAAATATCGAAAATGTATTACTAATTTGTGTGGAAAATCTTCGCAATGTATTTTACAAAAATTTAAAAAATTTTAAATTTTATGACATACTCACACACGCACACCCTTCTTTTTGCTATGAGTTACTAATAAAGCAAAATTATAAACTGCATATTATTTTAATGATTGTTTTGTTCCTTTTTTAGAGATTTTGTTAATTTTTTTTTTGAGTTAGAGCTTCTCAGTTGGTCATGAGTAAAACATTTCTTTCGTAGATCGATCCCTACTAATTCAAAGACTTGTTCTTGGGACTTGATAATAGTTGACGCGAAACATGTTTTTACCAGAAATTGAAGCCGTTTAAATGGGATTTACAGATCAGTTGGGATCATCGGTATGCTCGGTATATGAGCTAGTTGACCAGCTGCTGGGCCGTTGATAATGGTGGGGTGCTTTAATTTCTCAAAGGCATGAATGGAATTCCAATTTTTAACTTCATTCATGTGGCGGCAGTCCAGAAAGGGCTTAGTCTCGGTGTCGACCGATTTGGGGTCTTTTGAATATTATTGCCTTAATATTAAGAGTTACATAATGTTTCGAGATTGATTCTGAACTAACATCAGCGTGTTTCGAAATTTTTTTTACACAAATAATATAATTGGCTTTTTAGTAAGGATCCCTGCAAATATAATATGGGCCATGTTAACCGGGGATAATGTAGCTTCCCAACAGTAAAAGAATCCTTCAAACCGTTCCAGTAGTCTCGGAAACTATTCAACTCAAATAAACAAACAAACAATGAAATCTTTCCTCTTTATAATATTAGTAAAGACAAATATTTTGTACAATTTGGTTGGAATTCCAAACTGAAAGCCACTCAATAGGGCTTTTTCAACACATTGTTCTAAAGAAACTGGATTCTGGAATAACTGAAATATATAGTACTATGTCTTGACATATTGGCGCAATCGATTTCGTGTGAAATCTTATTGCCACGCTTATGCGCCACACATTTCCACATTTGTTTGTAAATTCTGAGGCATGTGTTTCGCAATTTGTATTTTCCAATCGTTTATAAATATTTTCAGTTTACACAGCACGAGTTGCGTTGTAAACAAACGCAATGACGTTCAAAAGAAATCGACAGATTGAACTACAGATTGTTACAGACCTATATACTTGCATATATATGCTATACTAGGAGTATATAGTGCCCCTTTATGACACCCTTTTGACATTGAAATCGACGGCGTATAATTGGGTTATCGTCTGGCTGCTTGCGAATAATGCCTAATAAAACAATATCTACGGATTGTAAGCTATGTACAGATATACAAAAAATGCTATATACCTATGTAATCGGTAGGTGGCTGAACATAGCAAATGCGCTGGAGACGCCGAATGCACGTTTCATGTTTCTTGGGGATGTCTGGCTATTTTTGATTTATTGATGTACATATTTATTATTTATTGTTTATTTGCCGTGCAAGGCATACAGAAATGCTTATTAGTAATGGCATGGGATTCAGCAATTAATGTGGAAAACACCCACGGTGCGCCGCTTCAGTTGCCAGAGTTGTTTTGGCTGCTGCACAAATAAATAGTTTAAACTATATACAAGTATGAGCATACTATACTCGTATGTATTTTAGGTGCGATAGTACATTTTACTTTGCTACCTCATGACAGACTCTTATCTGAACGTTTTACTAACATATTTACCCTTGTCGCTTCCAGATATCGTTTTCGCTTATCGAAAATACTACAAAGTCTGTACGAATGCTGCCACGGAACTGCACAAGAGCTGAGAAACTTTGTGATACGGCAACTGGAAGGTGCTATGCCGAGTTGCATTCATTGAGGAAGTGTGTGTGTGGAGAGATCGAGAAACAAAAAACGAACCGATGTGATACTTGAGACTTAGCATTGCAACGACGATATTTATGAATACCTTAACCTAAGTATAAGCCCAAGCACAAACAGAATTCGATTTAAGTCGGTGCTAAAGACTTGCCCAATTAAAAATGGAACACTTGGATCTGGCGGGGTATCTACATACACCAACGACCTGGAATTTTGGGGCCTTTGAGCAGCAAGGTGAGAAAAACATTAAGTCGCACTCTTTCGACTATTTAAGTCCACAAAAGTTATTCCAAGACTTACCCTCTATCTCCTATTCCTATAAAAGGCAACGAAGCTTTTAAATTATGGCATTCAAGTACATAAAAGTGATTGTAAATTATAAAAACTATCAATCAAATGAACCATTCAACTATATTTAAAACTACTTTCCGGTCTTACCCGAATCTTTTCTATAACTAAAAGGTGTTTAGTTCTGCAATACTTCCAATACAATGTTTGTTGTTAGCTAATGCATAAAATATTTGCTATCAGGTGAAGCTCATGCCTGAGAATTATAGGAATTTACTTTGTGATTTATAAAGACAATAGAATATGCGATAATTTCGGTTTGGCATTGTGACGCATTCTGCCCAAGCAATCGCATTTCTGCCACATTTGCTAGGCTAGGCGACCCTTTAGCCGATACCGCTGGTCCACTTATGCTACGTCTATGCGCAATTTATTAATAAATTTCATAATTAAGCGCAATGAATCATGCTCAGGCCGCAAGAACCGGTCTAATGTACGAGTATAGTAGTATGTGCTCCTCGTATGTGGCGATAAAATCGCGACTGCAGCTGCGACAATAAGGAATTGCAGAGCAGGGAGACTGGCGATGACGCTCGCAACGAAGTCAGTCAGTCAGTTTATAAATGCGCCCAACCAGAGACGTTGTGCCGGCTTGCTGTCAACGCAAGATGCGCAAGTGGCAGAGTTTAATTCTGAGTGGGCAGAGCAATGAGGCGGAAGGGGACTGAACAAACGAATTCATGAATCTCTACTTTTCTCATTTCAGATGCCATTTACTTGTCCAATTCACGGCAAATGCTGGAGCCCATCATGGAGGAGACGTCCGAGGATGAGGAACATGCACAGAACAGCTGGACGCAGTTTGAACAACAGAGCTCAGGAGGTGGCGGCTTTTGGAGCTCCGCAGAGTCCGAAACCGGTTCGGTTATCCGCGTTGAAGTTAACAAAGGTGAGTCTGATTCGCTGCAATAGCATCCAATAGTTGGACTAAATATGATGAACTTATGCTTCAGATCTCGACGCAGTATCCGAACGCGACTTTGTCTGTCCGCCCAAACGCGCACGCCGCTCGGACGAGCAGCAGCCACACAGCCTCGACGATGTGGTGCAGCTACGTCGCGCACCACGCTACGACCCCGACTCGCACAACAGTCTGGAGCGTTTCCTTTCATTAGAGGCCAGCACTCGCGATAGCTACGGCAGCCAGGGCCAGCGTAACAGCACGGGCAGCCGACGTTTCGATGAGTTCTATTCAGACAATGATTCATATCACTCGCTTTCACGTTCCTCATCGCTGGTGCAGTTCGAGTCGCTGGAGAGGCAGCTGACACTGCAGGAGCAGCATCAGAGCATGAGCAGTCTGGGCAACTCCTCGCCCTCGCTACTGGGAAGCGAGACCAATACACCGGAGGCCAACTCTGGCAGCAATTCGGGAAACAACAGTCGTCGCGGCTCCCAGAGCTCTCTAATGAAACGCTACGAATCCTCCGATGGTCGTCTACATCAGACCTACTATGAGCTAAACAAGCTGAACTTTGGAGAAGAGGAGAGGAGCACAGGCGCCAGCCTCTTCAGTGCCTGCAAGAGTCTGGCCAGTGCAGAGCTTAAGTCTGATTCGGAATCGTCAAGCAGCAGCAGCGACAGTTCTGGCCACAGCATACTCAGCGCTTCCAAGCCAACATCGGAGTATCTAACAGACTCTAGCGCGAGCACGCGCGGTATACGCATTGCTGCCTTCCAGGCACGTGGCGGCAAGAATTCCGCTGAGAATCTATCCGAAGATTCCGGCTACTGCGAGCCTTCGACGTTACGACGCGTCAAGTCCAAAAGCATACCAAAGAATTTCGACAAGTTCTGCGAGGAGGAGGAGGAGGACCAACAATTGCCGACACTGCAGCCACAGTGCTTGACAGATGGGCAGCCACATTCCAAAAACTCCAATGATTTGTGTCAGCCAAAAATAAATGCCAACGTTGCCACGTTTCTCTTGGAGTCGCGCGTGGACGACGACGACGACGACGATGATGATGAGGAGCACACGACGACGACAACGACGACGACGCCACCACCACAGTCACCGCCTTCATCGCCAACGTCATCTATAAATAGCCCTACGGGAGAGAAGCGCAGACGCGGCCTGGCACACTCGCCATCGCCGGCGTTGTCGGATATCTCCAATACCAGCGCTAGCTCGTGCTCATCCACAGCCTCTTTCACTTGGCTGCCACAGAGCGCAAACGTTGTGATGCTCGGCAGCAGTTTGCCAGACATACGCGAGGCGTGCGGTTCGGAAAATTCGGGAAAATCGGAAAATTCAACGCAGCCAATTGCCCATTACAGCCCACCATCATCTCCCCCCTCTTTGGCAGTGTGTGCGCCCCTCCAACGTTGTCGCGGCGACGTTAACCACATCGGCGGGCTGGCTAGCAACCGCGCGACCTCTTCCAGCAGTAGCAGCAGCTCTGCTGATTGCTCCCCTGTTCTGGGAGGCCCACGTGCTCGTAACGCCAGTGTACCCAACGAGCTGCATCAGCTTGGACGCCGACGTCGCCAGCAGCAACGGCAGAGCAGGCACAGCAAGAGCAGTAGTGGTGGCGAGGCGGGTGATTTCAGCTCCAGCGACGACGCCAGTGAACAAGCGGATTTCTTCGATCTAAACAGCCTGCAGATCCGGCGCAGCTGTAGTTGGTCCGAGCGCAGGGCAGAGCGTAGCTTGCACAAGTTCGAAGGAGCCTTCGGGGACGGCCCAGAGCAGGCCAGTGCAGCTAGTGCCGGATATCTGAATGCCAGCTATCAGAATCTAACACTCTTGGACTACACCAATAAGCAGCCTATCGCACAGAGCTTGGAGGCGAATCACAAACGCAGCGATATGGCAGGGCATCGCGAAAGCGACGACTACGAAGGCATCATATGCAGGGGAAATTTCTTGCTCGACGAACTGTCGCAGATTTATGACAGAAATGCCTCCATACTCAACGACCAGCCTGTCGAGGAGAAAGCGCCTGCCAATGAGAAGCCGAATCCGGAAGAAACAAAGGCAAATAGAGTGTTGGCACCCGCTCCGCCTCCACGCCGAGTGTCAGCAAAAGCAGGAACGGAATCGCAATCTGTGGAACCACCCCAGGTGCAGCATGTACAGTTGACGATACGCAAACCACCTGCTCGTCAGAAGCGCGATGCACAACAGCGACGGAGCGAGGAAGTGACAGCGCCCCCAATGCCAGTTGCTCCCCCAGCTGCTGTCATAAGCTTCAGCACCTTTGGCAAGACTTTCGATCAAGATCCTACCAACCTGCGCACATCCTACGCTCAGAGCCTGGAGCAGTGCAACTTTGATCCCAAGGAGCTGTCGTCTGGCACCGATGTGCGCGACTCAGCCTGTGCAAATTCCACGCCGCGCTCCCTCCCAAAGCGTCGTTTTCAATCGCAAGCAGGTGCCGCCAAGCAACGCAGTCTGGTCAGTAGCACGCCCAATCTCTATGCCTACGATGCCCGTGCGGATGAGGTCGAGGACGATATGTACGTAAGCAGCGCGCACAACTCGATGCATCAGTTGCCGCAGACAGCAACGCAGAAGCCATTGGGCATTCTGCTTCCCACCGGATCACGCACTTCCATCGGCAAGGAGGTAAGCTTCTGTCCAGTGGTGTCCAAATATTGTTGGCAGGAGCAGTCATCGGAGGAGCCCCAAGAGGAGGCTGAGGAGTGTCAGGCAGAGAACGACGATGACGACGAACTGTTCGATTGCGCCGATGCTACGGTTATTTATAACACGAAAGAGAACGAAAACATCGCCGTTCGCTTCAACGAAGAGCAAGCGCAAAGAGAGTCGCAAAGAGAGCCAGAAACGATCGACAGCGAAGAGAGCGACGACAACAACGAAAACATCGCCGTCAGCAACAACGCAACACTGTGTGTTGCTGAGAAACCCGTTTCAAGCGTCGTCGTCGTCGTCGCCGCCGCCGCCACTGCTGAACAGTCGAACGAAGCAGTTAGTCTTGAAACGAATCGCGCCGCGTCCGTAACTACAACGCTCGCGTCAACGCCAACGCCAACACCAACGCCAACATTAACGCTTGCGCAGCCATCGCCAACAGTAGCAGTCGAACCAAAGCGTCCTCTGAGTCTGCATTTGCCAATTCTTAGTGAACCGCCCACAAATCGCGCCCATCATATACTCTACGCCTCCCAGCAGCTGCTCGATCGCTACGCGACGCAGGACGGCGATATGTCCAAGTCGAACTACGCTGTCAAGTGCAGCGAGCCGGAGCCCAGCATCAATAACAATGAGCTGGGAAAATCGCGACACAAGTCTGACGAAAAGCATCCCAGTTCGAAGGGTTTTCTTTCGCGTTTCGCGCACGGCTTGCGTTTCTCGCTACGACGCAAGAAAAAGCAACAGCAGCAGCAGCAGCAACAACAAAAGGAGCCGGCCAAGTCGACAACAACAACAACAGCAACAAGCGCCAAGGATAACAAGAAATTAAATGGTACCGCTGCCAAGAAGCCGCAGTCGCCCGACTTTGTTTACATACCCCTCAAGGGTCCGACGCAGCAGGAACATGAACAACACAATGACAGCAATGCCTCCACAGCGAGTGTGCAGAGCTATCGACAAACCACAACAACAATAACAACAACAGCTGCAGCAGCAGCAGCTGAGCAGCCGAAATCGTCAACTTTGCAGAAGCTGGTTACCGGCAAGCCACCGTTACCCAAACAACCACCCCGCGTGGCGGCACATGCGCAGACCCTGCCACCGGCAAAATCGTCGTCCAGTGCTGCCCATTCAAGCGAAGCTCTGTTGGATGCGGAACGCCAACAATATGCAGCCTTCGCCGAACAGTTGACGGCGGGCATGCAACGGCATCAGTTGAATGGGACGGCAAACGCGGCCGGATCCGAGACCGGAATCGCTTCACCCTCGCGCGCCACTGTCGCCCAAAAGACGCAAATGTTCAATCAGCTAGGCGGCAACCGGCGAGCCACAATGGTCACAGCCGTGCCGGTGGCTGTGGCTCCCATGCCCGATGAGGAGTCCAAAATTGGACTAATCGAAACCAATTTGGACACACACGAGACCGTGATTTCGGGCAAGACGCGCTCCCTCATGGACATTACGTGTAATCCGGGCAACCAGCAGCACAGGCGCTACATTGTGAAACGCTTGAATGTGGCCAGCGCGGCCTATGACGATCCGCGGCACATATATGGCGATGATGATGATGACGACGATGTTGACGGTTCTGGTGGTGATGGAAACATCAAATGCTCGCCACAAGCGGGCGGTGTTCAGATTGCCTCGATGCGGCGACCACACAAAAGCATGGAATTTCTGTTGGATAAAGAGAATCAAAAGAATGTTTTGGTAAGTGCCGACACACCCCTTTCCCCGGCCCCACCTCTTTCAACTTTCTTTGTGGCACAACCACCGCGCTGCTTTTCACACATGCCCAGCTATCTCTGGGTCTGGGGTTTCACGACTAGTTTTTATGTGTTCTCTGCACAGAGCAAGCCAAAATCCATCCCCCAAAGGCCGCTCCCAATGCTTTGCTTCCTTTTTGGCCTCATTGTTATGTTTTTCATGCGCAAATTATGCAAAATCCGTCCATTACTAACATTAATATATAGTATAGCTCTGCTTGTTTTCACTTCATTGCACAGAAAATACGCGGAACAGGGGGTTTCTACTTGTATTTAGTGAGAAATTCTTAATTGCTGCTAAGTAGAACTACTTGTATGTTTCCAAAACTTCTGCTTTCTGATTTGCAACTTTTTGTATGAAATCAAATAATCACATAATTGTAAAAAAAACTGGGAATATATCTTACAGGAGTAACTCTTCAAATCGTTCACTTTAGTGGTGAATACTTATTTGCAAAGGTGGTTCATTTAATTAGGGGTTTTGGGTTGAGGATTGTAGAGTAATCTTAGGGGTATATTGATTTTACGTATTTTCTTTTTAGAAACACGCAAACTTTGTTGATCTCTTCAGTTAGAGAGTAAATTTTGTGGTTTCAAAATATTTACTCATAAAGAGGAGGAAAGTAAATAAACACAAAATATTATCCATGCTTACATTGGCATTATTACGCTGTATTCTGATCAATTGGGGTTTATTTATTAGTAATAAATGAATAAATTCGAAGAAGTTCCATTAACTTAACTTAAGTTACTTAAGCAAATGTTTTTCTTTCTTGAGACAGCTGCATTGCCTCCTGCTTCTGCAAAGTCAATCAAATCAAATGAAATGCTTGTGGTCGCCCTATTACCAAGTTTGTTGACTAATTCGCTGCCTTTCCAGCTGCTAATCGGCTTAGCTGTTGGCTGGGCTAGGAGCGCGCGTTTTAAGTCGCGCACAAATCGCGCGATGGATGCTATGCGTTTGTTTTGTATTTTTTCGTGCTACAATTTGATTTATTATATTTTTATCGCTCTTGTCGCCTCCCCGCTTCCCTTACACTTAGTCCTGCTGCTACATAAATCAATGCTTTATACTGAGCTGCTTCCATTAAATATAATTCCTAGCACTTGGATGTGTGTAGTGTGTTGGTCTCCACTGCGATTTTATGGCTCTACAAATTACTTTAATGCCAGCGCTGCAGCGCACAGACAATGACCACTTGACCTTAGTTTCATAATGTGTCGCAGCCTCTGTTAACCCACCACACCCCACACCATTCCGACCCCCCTTCAGCCCCGACCCAAGCCATTGTCTTCATCATCTTCGAGCGCACATGTCGTTGCTGCCTTTGTCGTGTCTTTGTTTCTTCTGGCTTCTCCTGCCTTTTGTGCTACAACTTGTTACGATTTTCTTTCACTTTTTTCTCAGCTCATTATGCTAATTGACTCGATAGCTGCGTAAGAATGTACATACATATGTATGTATGTAAGTATATAAGTCTAAGGGTCTCGGCACTTCGTTAAAACTTATTAATGCCAACAAATGTTGGGCGCAAGTTTTTCTCCAGCTCCATGAACTGCAATTGATATGCATATACATATGTATGTGTGTATGTACGTATATGTGTGTGAGTTTGTTGGTGAATTAAGTGTAATGTGCAGTTTACACTTTTGACGCTGTCTAACAAACATTACAGTCTATTCGCTGATAATGGCAGCAAAGCATGCTTCTTATTTTTGCCACCAATGTTGCGCCGGCTTGGCGTTCAAGTTGCTTGCACGACGAGTGCCACTGCCTTGATCTACATAAGTATATACGAGTACGTGCATATATACATACATGCATGTAGTTGTATGTGTGTAGTAAGTAGACCCACTCGTCCCTCAATAGCACATGCAGAGTCAATTTGTATAGTCTTTAATAAAAAATACAACTGACGTGCTGCACCCTTTCCCAAGCTCTTTTGCTGAATGGTGACGGAGTGTCTGGCCTCGTGGTCGTCATTTCAATCGCTACTCCTACATATGTATGTACATATATATGTATGTATATATAAATATACACACACACACACACACATAAGCAAAAAGTCGGTGCTCGCAAAACTTTCGCCTTGATTTCCGCTCAAATTTAACTGCGACTTCGTTCGCTACGTTTTGTTTTGTAGCTGAGCCCATGGTTTGGTATTGCGGAAATGTCTTCTCACAACGCACACCCAATTCTGGCGACTTATATAGTCAACGTCGTGCTTCAGACTTGGCGGCTATAATAAAAAATAACTGCTCAAAAATAAAAGCAAACTGTGAGCTGCCCACGAAATGAAAGTAAGGCAAAGCCAGGCAAGGCACACAAATTACTGAGATAATGCGTAGAGCGTACAAACATAGAAAACTAATTAATCCAGCAACTACAATCACATCTTCAGTGTGTCAAGATGCACTATTAGTTAACATATGTATGTACATATGTACGCATTTATGTAAATATAAACAGACGCTGATAAGCAAATGCACTTTCTGTTTTCTTAATTGTACCCTGCGGCATATTGTTTTTGTCAAACGGCTTGTAACATCTAAAAAAGCAAGACCAGATTTTTAATCTCCCTATGAGAAAGACCTACATTTTTGTATTCATTTTAATTATCTTAAAAAAACAACCTTCATTTAATTTCATTTTGCTCATAGTTTTATTTATTTGCCTTCAAAACTATTCAATCCCATATGAAACTGCTAGTTTTGTGTTTACAAATTGGCTTTAAATTCTTTGCGCTCTCAGATATGAATAGCATTGATAATTCATTATCTTTTTCGCAAGCTATCAATATTGTTATGCTGACTTCATTCACATAAAATGTAAGATTACCCTACTTTTACGATTAACTTGTCTAGAAATTCCACAATTCGAATAGCTTATCTATTTTGTATAAACAATAAACGCAACTGAACTGATTATAACGTAATTATTCAAGAATTTCTAATCGAAATACAATTGCTGAATCGAAATACCTTCTTAAGAAGGCATGGCCTCCGAAGAGTTCAAAACCGCGGCCAAAGACAAATCTTCCAACTGACTCATTCGGACCACTATTTTGTATTACATACATACTATAATTATTTTGCTTCTACTACGTCTCTATTTGATGTTTGCTTATCTTTATGCGCTGCCTGCCTTGTTGCCGCCTGATAAAACACAATCGACAATAAGTGTTTACAAACGACAGCCCCCACTCACTCTACACACACACACCTACACCAAATTATTGTTTAATATGCCCAGCAGCGCGGCCCGCTAGCCTCTAAAGTTTGTCGTGCGCATTCGGCTCATCACATATTTGTTGTTGGCATTCATTCAGTGCTCTTTCTCGTACCCTGTTCCGAAGGGTTAAACGCCCAGTGTATGTAACAGCAGAAAGGAAAACAAAAAACATCGCAGCCCGCTTGAGAGGCTGTCAAGTGCTTAGATCTCCTACAGCACTGCTTAAGAGAGCGGACCGTTAAAAGAGCGAGCTGGGTGCCGCTCGTACATGCGAGCATAATAAATAGTTGCTGTTGCTTTTTAGAGAGACAGTTTTACCTGTTAGTTGGCATTTACCTGCATTCATCTTAAGCTGAGAGATTTCATTGCGAGCAGTGTGCATTTGGAAATTCAAAGCATTTTCTTTGCCATATTTGGCGCAATTTGTTTTGCTTGAATGATCGGTGTTGTTGTCATTAGCCGCCACTCTCATCCGCTGCACCCGCTCACTCTCTCTCTCTCTCTCTCTCTCTGTCTATTTCACTCTGTGCTTGCACACCTTAAATGCCAGTGTGTTGGCGACAAAAATAGCAAAAATGCAACTACACACACTTTTCACACACACACACTCACACACGTGCATTCAGATAGAAAAAGTCAAATAATTCGACGTAGCGGCTGCTTTCTATCACATTTTTGTGGAGGAAGCCTCACAGTAATTACAATAACAATTTTTGCGCAGCGTTTTCAAATTAATTAAAATACTTCACTGTTTTTCGAGTGCTTAGCTCATGGCTGTGGCATTTTCATTGCCTTATACACAATATGTATGTAGTAGTAGTTTAAATCGCACATGTACGCTTGTGAGTCTATAATTTATTCAAATTAAAACGGCATTTTGTCTAATGTTTAGCTTTGCTAGAAAACTGGCCGCTGGCACAGTGCTGGCTAAAATAGTGCGCCCTCCTGCCACCTACCACCTGCTAACAAGCGAAAGTGCGTAAGCAGCCAGTGCGCGTAATTTAATTAATTAGATTTGTGTTTTAATTCAGCCCATTTTTGTTTATAGTTTGTTTTATTTGTTCGTTGTTTGCACAATTTATTTTTGCGCCAAGCGAACCTAACTTTTTGGCTTTGTCGAGTTGTTAACACCTGCATGTCGGATAAACGTAAATCAATTCGCACCGTACTGTGTGTTGTTTTCCCCTCGATGTTGAGAAAACTCCTCTTGCGAAATTGGGTGCAAGGGTACTTGAGCAAAATTGATATACAAGCACCTATAATATTGCATAATAATAACCAGAAATAGGGCGTGGATTATAATCTCCAAAAGATGTTCTTGGTAGAATACAATACAATATCAGAAAATCCTCGCACTGGAGTTATTATTTTATAAAATATATTTTGAAAACAATTTATTTTATTTGAATTAAATTGAATACCTTATATTAAAATATATATGTTTTCATATGATTTTTACCCGCTGGTTTGCCGTAAAATACAAGCTATAATATTACGCCGCGTTTGTTTTTCGCAACTTTTCACGAGCTGTTAATTTGCAGCCCACTTGTGAAAATGCGCGTTGGAATAATGCATAAAGTATTTTATATACATATGTATGTATGTATGTATGTATGTATTTAATAAATGAACTCGATGTCTAAAAATACTTGCCAAAAAGTAAACAAAATATGCAAAATATATTTGCCAATGCCATAAAATGTGGAAAG